GGCATTCAATCCGACGAGGGACACAAAGATCTCTCCATCGATCGTAATTCGGATCCGTTGCTGGAGGAGAAGATCAAGGGTAAAGATCTCAAGGAATTGAACGAGGAGAAGAGAAGATCCGCGCGAAGGAAAGAATTTATTATGGCTGAACTCTTGCAAACCGAGCGTACATATGTAAAAGACTTGGAGACTTGTATTCGTTGCTTTCTGGACGAAACGCGATGCGGAAAGGGAAACGTTCCGCTGGGTTTACAAAGCCGAGAATCGATAATTTTTAGTAATATAGAGGAGATACATCAGTTTCATAGCAATGTATTTCTACGCGAGCTAGAAAAGTACGAAACCATGCCGGAAGACGTTGGACATTGCTTTGTAGTATGGGTGAGTGTTATATATGATAAAATAAATTTTGTACAAAAGCACAATTTTTTTCCTATCACACACGCACGCGCGCGCGCGCGGGCATACACAGACGCACATTATGAATATATTATATATCGCATAATAATCCATAGGCACCTAAATTCGACATGTACGTGACTTATTGTAAAAATAAGCCCGAGAGCAATCAGTTGTTGGTAATGCATGGTGGAACGTGGTTTGAGGAATTGCAGAGAAAGTATAGAGTAGAACATCCCATCGCTGCATATTTAATCAAACCTGTACAGAGAATTACTAAATATCAGCTGCTACTTAAGGACTTACAGGTATATATAAAGGAATGGAAGGGAGAGAAGAAGAATATGTATATCTCATATTTCAAGTAATTTAATTTGAATATATATAAATCATTTCAAATTTTTTTTCTTTTTTATTTCAGGCTTGTTGTCAAGAGGGACAGGGCGAAATAAAAGAAGGGTTAGAAGTAATGTTAAATGTGCCTAAAAAAGCTAACGATGCCTTACACTTAAGTCTATTGGAAGGTTGCGATGTTAGTACAGACGCGCTCGGTGATGTTGTACTGCAGGATTCGTTCACGGTATGGGACCCGAAACAGTTGATTAGGAAAGGAAGAGATCGTCACATATTTCTTTTCGAATTGTACCTTCTCTTCACGAAGGAAGTCAAAGATTCTGCCGGAAAGGTTTGCATGCACAACAGTCTTGTCTTTAGTTTTAAATAAAATCTTATTGTATATTAATTTGCCTACGTCTGTTTAGGTAAAATATGTTTATAAAAACCGCCTGTTGACCTCCGAATTGGGCGTAACCGAACATATCGAAGGCGACGAATGCAAATTTGCAGTATGGACAGGACGAGCACCGACCAGCGATACTCGCGTAGTGCTGCGAGCGAATTCGATGGATGCGAAGCAGCTATGGGTGATGAGGTTACGCGAGGTAATACAGGAGACCTTTTTGGGCAAAAATATGCCAAAGAGCCCCGCTAAAAAGAGCTCCAGTCAACGATCCAGCAGAGATTTGGAGGAATGCGCGTCTTTGGATGAAAGTGTGGAGAATCTCGATAGAAATTCATTGGCTTCCTTTGGATCAACTAATACCACGGATTCTGATAAGGTAAAGTATGATCTTTTTATTATAAGTTTTATTTTTATATGTATGATCTTTTTATTATAAATTTTTTTATCAAAATTTATTTTTATATATATGATCTTTTTATTATAAGTTTTTTTATCAAAATTATTTTTATATGACTCATAAAGTTTACAAGTTAATTGAATGAGAGTTGAGAAGAACTTCCGCAATAAAATATTAGATAAGTAGGAGTTTTTTAAAATGATTATTGTACATTATTTTTTACTCAATGAAAAAGTCGGAAAGCAGTTAACAATTTTTTAAATGTACGA